ATCGCCAGCTGATCTCTCATTAAACCATCAATACGTGTTAAAATCATCCATACAGCTGATCTCAATTGCAACCATCGTTGGCCACCGATTTACCGCTCCTTAACGCAGATGTCGGGGTTATCTTTTAGTCCTGATTGTAACCAACATTTTCAAGATGATTTCTCCCAATGGTGGATGTTATCATTCCTGCAATTTTAATAGACTAAGTGTGATTTATCTATTTGACAATAATTCCGTACAACTGATTTTCTCGTTAACCAAGGCAAATCTACAATGCAATGTAGCTTAACCTACAATTTTATGAATGGAAAAATCATTGTGTAGGAGTATTTATTTGTTTCCAATTGATGTAATCCATTAATTGCTTTACTTGTCTTAATAGAATATGGCTATTTCTGACTAAGCGGGGGAAAATTAATATTCCTTAAAGGAGAAGTTGTTTTTTACAACCAAATCTCTATTTTTGATGTAAATGGCATGTTATAGAAATTATTGCAACCGATAGAATGTTATGTATATGGGGGATACAACCATCCCAGCTCTGCAGATTTAGCTGCGAAGAGACAATCATTTGATCACTTTTTTTGGTACTTCCCATATGTATATAGCTTGTTTTTGGTCGCAGGTTCAGGAATAGCTGAATAATTGCAACATTTACCTGGAGCTAACTGCAAATAGCACTGCTGGGTGACTTGAAAATCCATAGTCAATTGATCAATAATATAATACTTTTAATAAAAATATTAATCTTTAATTTACAATCTGTAGAAACTATGAGAATAGAAAGGTTCAGAACTTTTGTGAAACATTACAGGACAGTTGAAAAATATGGCAATTAGAAAATAAAACTGGATGGTTTTCAGAGATCGATAGGAGGGGTTGAGGGTAGCTGAAGGGTGGGACTAAAAACAAATAAAAAAAGATAACTAATGCAAAATATACTGTGTCATAAAATTTATATAGTATATAGGCCCTGTGTAGCTCAGTTGGTAGAGCATGGCGCTTGCAACGCCAGGGTTTTGGTTCGATTCCCACGGGGGGCCAGTATGAAAAATGTATGCACTCACTAACTGTAAGTCGCTCTGGATAAGAGCGTCTGCTAAATGACTAAAATGTAAATGTATACGCTGTAAGTAGAAGCCTAAGTATTGTAGTCCATTATTTTACTCCAATTAGGGGAGGGGTGGTAGGATTAGGCTAAATTAATAAAGGCAAAAATATGTATTTTTTAAAATATATGGGGGATTGGAAATGATGCAAACAATCACATTGATAGAACCCACAATCTATCTGCAATATTAAAGGTGATCCACCCTCCCCCAAAAAAGTCTGATTTAATCAACGAATACGATAGCCAGCTTAAAATAGGTTAAGGGTACAAGACTGTACATATCTGGCTGTGTTGGCAAAATCACTACATATACCATCGAGCAAAGCCGGGAGAGGCTGCCCGTTGTCACATTTCCAAGACGTCAGAAATGTCAAAGTAACCCTACGCCATTGACGCCAGTGGATCTCAAAACTGAACTTGGATCCGCGTTAAATCTTGGATACGCGTTCAAGTTTCTTTCCACCAAATGTCTTAGTTACATGATTGTATAACTAGCAAAGGAGTTTTGAAGTTGAGGGTGCAGTATTTATGAAGTTTGGCATTGAGGACGAAAACTAGCATAGTTCAGCTAGCCAGCTAGTTTAGCCAGGGAAAACAAGCTCGGGACAGGATATAGCTATGCACGCTAGGCTAATTCAGAAGACAGATTGTAGTTTTTATGCTCTGATATCAGGAGCTGGCGGTGAAAAGTTCGATTAAACAATTCAGAGACTGAAACGAATACATCAGATGACAAATATTTAAAGAGAGCGAATTGATATACAATCCCGAAATCAGCTGTAGTTGTCAATAGTAAAACAAAGCTTAAAACGATGTTTGAGTGAACCCTAAATCCAGAAAATTAATTATGAAGTCTTCCGGACACAGTAGACGACAACTCACCACGCTATGAAGACACTATGTTGGTGTTTCCTTTATTTTGGCAGTTACCTGTATGTCCTACCTTTGTACATAAAACATGTTTTTGTTTTACGTGTAGATGTCTTGTCAATATGTTGAAATCTGCCACATTTCATGTTTTGATGTTGCTAAAGGGCAATTCCATGGTAACGGAATTATGCTGAGACACAAAATGTATACCAAACAAAAACCATTGATTTCAAGGTTTAACAAACCATAGAATGCTATGCACAATGACTACTTTTAACAATTTCCACAGACATTTTTACAAAAACAGATTTACAGGAAGAACTGTGCAGGTAGAAAGTTTGATAACAATAAAACTGAGGGAGATTTTACCTTAATGTGTTACCAAATTTTGCATCTGCAGTTATTTTCCAGTAAATTATATATTTTTTTACTGTGTCAATTGTTCAAATTAGTCGTTGTGCATAGAGTTGTATGGAAAATAAATAAAAAATTTCTTCATGTTTTGACAAGCATTAAGAAAATTGTTGTGATATGCTCAAGTGTTCACATTCATATAAATGAACCTTCTGATTCGTGTTTTTTTCATCTAGAAATATATATATTTATGTATATTTTATCCACCTTTCTATCACAGAATAAATGTGATAACATGTTTGTGAGGTGTCATTACCTGCACATTTCTCTTTGCTCTGACTGTGTTTATTGTACTTTTATGAAACATTGAAATGTTTTATTCATCTAAAGCTCGATAAAGGCTAATCAAGTTGCATTTAACTAAGGCTGTTGTAGTTGATATAACTGTAATAGTTTTTTTTATCATCTTCTCATGTGCCCTAAATATACTTTTATTGTTTACTGTATATGTTTAAGGAATCAAGTTGGATGTGTTTTACCAGTAAGCTATTGCAACAGGCGCCCGTTCTTCTGGTAAGCCGAACTGACCTTGTCGCACTCCACTCCAGCAGGTGGCGATAAAGCAAAATGGGTTTACTCGTTCACGACCGAGATGCAACCAGATGTTTTTGCCGCTGATGCCACGTGATGAAAACAACACGGCTAACTATCTGCCTAGCTACTCAACGTGCATTATCATTTATTTGTTATATTTAATACAGAGATTAACAGCTGCTGCTGATGAGATATTCGGAGTTGTTGAAAAAAAACGATGGAGTATCAGGAGGAAGTTGTCCGTCTACAGAGACTGCTCGACATGGTTCATCAACCTGATATAACCCTACACAAATCAAAATCAAATCAAATTTTATTTGCCACAAGAGCCAAATACAACAGGTGTAGACCTTAAAGTGAAATACTTACTTACAAGCCCTTAACCAACAATGCAGTTAAGAAAAAAATAACAAATAATTAAAGAGCAGCAGTAAAATAAAATAACAGGTGGGAGGCTATATACAGGGGGTACCGGTACAGTCTCAACCTGCATTTTATAGGACATGGGTGCAACGTCAAAGGTAGTTATTTTTTAGGCTAAGTTTAGGATTCATTGTTCCATATGAAACCAATCAAAAAGGTGCATTTTTGGACCGCATGTGTTTTGATTATAACGAAACTGTAACTACATAAGTTTGTCCATGGTAGAAATGGTCAGAATGTGAATATTATTGGATCTGAATGATCAACTGTTCAGGAAGTATAAGTTTCAATTTTCAGGTTTCAAGTTTTAATGTCACGTGCACAAGTACAGTGAAATGCCTTTCTTGCAAGCTCTAAACCCAACACAGTAATCAATAAAAATATAATACTACAAATAACAAGGTAGAACAAAAACACACGAGAAATAGAATGAAGGAAAACACAAGAAAGTAGTTAAGCATACTATACACTGAGTGTACAAAACATTAAGGACACCTTCCTAATATTGAGTCGCACCCCTCCCTTTGCCTTCAGAACAGCCTCAATTCGCCCGGCCTGGATTCTACAAGGTGTCGAAAGTGTTCCACGGGGATGCTGGCCCATGTTGACTCCAAAGCTTCCCACAGTTGTGTCAACTTGGTTGGATGTCCTTTGGGTGGTGGACCATTCTTGATACATAAGGGAAACTGTTGAGTGTGAAAAACCCAGCAGCGTTGCAGTTCTTGACATGGACCGGTGTGCCTGGCACCTACTACCATACCCCGTTCAAAGGCACTTAAATATTTTGTCTTGCTCATTCACCCTCTGAATAGCACACATACACAATCATGTCTCAAGGCTTAAAAATCCTTCTTTAACCTGTCCCCTCCCCTTCATCTACACTGATTGAAGTGGATTTAACAAGTGACATCAATAAGGGATCATAGCTTTCACCTGCTCAGTCTGTCATGGAAAGAGCAGGTGTCCTTAATGTTTTGTACACTCTGTGTATACAGGGTAAGTCAGTTACAGTACCATATTTACAATGTGCAGGGATACTGGAGTGTTAGAGGTAGATATGTATAGGGGTAAGGTCAATAGGCATCAGGATATATGATAAACAGAGTAGCAGCAGTGTATTTAATGATTGTATGTGAGTGGGTGTGCGTAGAGTCAGTATAAACGTATGTGCATATTATGTGAGCAAATTAAGTGTGTGTTTGTGTGTCAGTGTGTTTAGGGCCCTGTGAGTGTGCATAGAGACAGTGCAAAAATAAAATGCAAGGGTCAACTCAGTCTGTGTAGCCATTTTATCAGCTATTTAGTTAGCTATTTAGCAGTGTTTGGCTTGGGATAGAAGCTGTTCAGGAGCCTATTGGTGTCAGACTTGATGCACCGGTACCACATTGAGAAGAGTCAGGCCTGGGTTGTCGTTGACAGAGAAGAAGGCATTGTGTCTGTCCGTCCGACTCACGTTTCTCTTTATCCAATCAAAACAAAGAGAACAGTTAAGAACCTAACCATCAAATGTGTGTCAACCAACGAGGCATACAGAAACGTTAAACAGACAGCAGCACCAACCTATAAAGTGAGGTCCTTTTCTTCATCTATGCCACAGATGTAAACTCTTATCACTAGCCCAGACAATCTCCACCCCCATCCCCTCACTTACACAGGCGATGAGCTCAAAACCTGTTTTGTCGTCAGCTGAGGGCGGAATCTGGTGGTCGTCGGGCCCCTTTGAAGAAGTTGGTGACCTTGGAGAATCCCCCAAAAGGTGGTGGCATAAGGGTCCTGGATAAACTTCTGGAAACAAAGAGATTGAGATGTTTATGAACTCATAGTCACATACTAACACATTACACATCTTCAGAAACATACTGACAACACACAATCCTTACAGAGACAAGGTAGGAATTTCCATCATCAAAGAGCTAGGAAGTGACACCCATCTAATGGTGACCTGAAAACAAGATAAAAATACATAAGTAATGGGTGAGAGAGTGAGGCAGAGAGTAATAGACAGACCGTAAAAGAAGAAAGAAAGAGCTAGAAAAATAGAAATGAGGGGGAAATATGGGAAAGACACTTCCAAACATGATGATAAGAGAGTTGTGTACAGTGTAGACCAGCTGCTAAACTCTCTACTGTTCAGAGTCCAGTTAAATGCCAGTGAAATGCCTTGAAGTAGCAGCTATCTGCTGCTACTCACAGGGCCAGGATGATGCGACGCTGCAGGGCCCTCAGCAGCTCCCTGGTGCCCCCGCTGTGAAAGTGCAGAGGAGGGAGGGGGTGGCCTGCTGGTCAGAACCAGGAAGTTACGGCCCAGGGAGAAACAGGACCGTTGCAGAGAGTACAGCTCCGACAGAGGCAGGGATAACGACCACTGAACAGGGGGAGACATCAACACTGTACAGCCTAGCATGGGAACTATAAGCACAGAAGTCTACCTACTTGTCTCTTTGACAGGGGATGCTCTCCGACTCGGTCTCTCTTCACTGTGCTGACCGCCTAGTCTGGCTCATAGCCATGGTCATAGTTAGTGTCCTCCACCCCTCCTTCTCCATCCTAACAGGGAGAGAGAACACATGAAGAAAACAGAGTAATGTTGTCTGTGTATTAAACAGGACATAACAACTCACCTTTTTAGTGTAGAATACAACTGCCGCATTTCAACCCTCATCCTCTAGAGCGCTCCACTCCAAAACTGGCAACATCTTACTCTAGTCTAGAATAATGTGTGATAGCCTAAAGCTAAGCAGAAAATGACATACTATATGAGCTAAAGGCCTGTGCTTGACTAAGGAAGCAAAACAAAGTTATTGATGACAAAGACTTCCACCACAGGGATGAGTACTCTTTGAATACGACTAGAATCGGTCTTGGATCAACCAGTATTGTCATGGTGTCTATGGGAGAAGCCCAATTTACCCGTTCCACTATATGGATGAACCCTGGGATGGTGGTGTCCTAGTTGCTCCTGTTGGCATTGGTGTGGAGTTACATCCCCTCCTTCTCAAACACCAGCTGTGTGTAAGCTATGTTATGAATGTGACCATAACAGAAATAATGTATTTGCATTGCCAGCTGTGACACGACTTCAGGTAAAATATTACATAAGGCCCCCTCCACCAACCAACGATCTGTTCAAACGTTTAGTTAGTTAGATAATCACTTTCACAGACAAGTTTACAATACTAATGCCATGAAATGGGGATCCTCTGGACCCTATCGTCACTGTAAACAGATTAACTAGCTAGTTGTTAGAGAACCAGCAGTGCTTATTGCTTAACAAATGTTAGTTTGCCGTGGAAAATAGCAACGCTATGATGACATTTCTCATAGCCAAATCAGTGAACAAGTAATATGTCACACCAGCAAATATCAATCTTATCTGCCATTATGGAAATAGTTATTAAGCTAACTAGTGTGGGGATCTATTTTCTTGTAACTAGATGTGATGCCTAGCTTAGAAAGAATGCATTAATGATTTAACATAAAAGGTTTGTACTGTACTGATATAAATTGTTTAACCTAACAAGCTGTGATTAATGTGAGGAGCTGTTTTAGGGAGTAGGGGGAGATAAGAACTTATGTCTCACATACACGAACACTGCCTCTTTGTGATCTGTGAACCGCCAAGGACGTAGGTACAAAGAGTACAGGGGAACAGTGTCTATGGGTGCTGACTCTACAGGTTGTGATGATAACAACTTATGCCTGGCAACAGTGTGCAACGGTAAAGCGCCAAGGGGCTGGGACCAGCCTGTGCGCCAACGATTGGCTGAGTAAGTCTAAACCACGCTCAGTCTCTACCCTGATAGGCCCAGCAAGGAGCGGGAACTATCACTGTCAGGGTATTTAAAGAAGAGCCTGTAACAATGGATCAGTTCTCTGTCTGCCCTGCGTGGTATTTCAGTGAGCCCGTATACGAACCATCATACATACATTTTGCATATAATAAATTTAGCTTGGATTGAATATCTCTTGATTATGTTTTCTCTTATTCCAATACCAGATTTGAATTACGCTATTTCTAACACTAGCTAAATTAGGTAGCTAGCCAGCAGATCCGACCTGCTTGCTTACAGCTGCACTAGGGTCGACAGCATTCCTGTGTATATTAAGACACCGCGGAGCCCGACGCGAGATATGGCTCGGAAAACGTACCTCAATCCAGGGATGACAAATGCGTTGTACTCCGAATTGTCCCATTATCCCAACTGTTACACCGAGAAGATTGAACGACTGCTAGTTTTTTTTTGCAGTTGTTCTATCTTCTCGGTGTAACAGTTGGGATAATGGAACAATTTGGAGTACAACGCATCTAAACCGCTGCAAAATATATTTTCAATAACCCAAAATATTGTATTTTCAGCTGTTTGAAGCTGGTGTACAAAACCGAAAGTAAAAGACGCGAAAATGAAACTTAAGAACGGAAAGCATAGCAATAGCACACAGAACTGATCTACCACTTCTTAAACTTGCTTTCAATGAGAATGACAGATGTATAACTTAAATTTCTATGTGAATTTGGTTGGGTCGCCTAAAAAAATGTGTAAACTCACTTTTGAGAAAATGGCCATGGTATCTAGTGAAGAGCTCTTCTTTGTCTACACCCATTCACCATCCCAGCTCGTTTCGCTCTCGGTGAGTTCAGAGCACACACTTGATGCTGATGATTTGTTTACCTCTGGATAACATGAAAACAGCCTAACCAGCTCTGCTGGCAACAATTTCATAACGATTTTTTGCGATGTTTACTGACACCGGCCATATTCAACGGGTGTTGTACACTTTAGCTTAAGACATGTAGCTAGCTATCTAGGTAAACAATTAACTTAGCAAGGTAAACAATGTGTAAGATCACACACATCATGTAACGTTAGCTAACGAGCCAGCCAGCTAACGTCAGCTAGTTAAACAACAATGAGCATAGTGCCAAATAATGTAGTTACTACCCTGCATGAATCTGCTGGGAGCTAACCAACCAGGTTCAATGTTAGCTAGCTAACATTAGGCTAACTAGCAAAACAAACTGCTCTGGGATTCGAATAATAACGTCATACATGTACCGTTAGCTAACAGTACACTTTAGCTTTAAATGAAACCACTTTCTGTCAAAACGTGTAATATCTGAAAATGTAGCTAGCTAGACTATCTTACCCCTATACATCATCATGCATGATAGACACGTCTCCATGTCAAGGATGCCATGCCATGGTTGCCCTTAGTTTGAATATGTAATCCGGAAACAGGTGTTTTCTCAATTTCTTTAGCTATCATACTCTAATTCCACTGATTTCTAAACTCCATCCTCCAGAATGTGGAGAGCAACACTTATACAGCTTCACTACACTATAAAACATTTTTAAAAGCCGCGTTTGACAGGATTATCAACACAGACTGACCAGCTCAAATATACAGAAGCCTCCTATATGGCAGACCAATCCAAACTCCTCTATCGGCATATCCAGCCCACTCATTAACTCAGCCAATCATGGCTAGTGGGAAGGTTGCTGTCTTTTTCTGTGGCTTAACCAACAAGGCTCCTAATTTACTTTTTTTATTTGTATTTACAGATGGCATACAAGTTTGTTATCAAGGCACATGAAAGTTCACATGTTCCAAAAGGCATTTCTGCCAAAAAATGCATTTTGATAAAAAATTAAAATTAAAATTAAAATGGCTCTCCTGTGAAGTCCTGATTTGCAACATATGCCTAGTTTCCTGAAACGGGTCACATATTGTAGCTTTAAATAAAAATCACAGTATGTAAATATGCCCATATAGGTTTCACAAAGATATGTCATGATCAAAAAGCAAATGAGTCATCATTAACAAAAACAAATGATTAGCAAATAAAAGCAAGACAGGTTTTTTCGATGAACACATTTTACAAACATATTTCTTGCTTTGCAAACACAAATCAAATCAAATTTTATTTGACACATACACATGTTTAGCAGATGTTATTGCGGGTGTAGCAAAATGCTTGTGCTTCTAGCTCCGACAGTGCAGTAATATCTAACAAGTAATATCTAACAATTTCACAACATATACCCAATAAACACAAATCTAGTAAGGAATGGAATTTAAGAAATATACATGTACAAGCAATGACAGAGCGGCATGGACTAAGATACAGTAGAATATTATAGAATAGAATACAGTATATACATATGAGATGAGTAGTGCAAGATATGTAAACAGTATTAAAGTGACTGGTGTTCCATTTCTTAAAGTGGCCAGTGATTTCAATAGGCAGCAGCAGCCTGTAATGTGCTAGTGATGGCTATTTAACAGTCTGATGGCCTTGAGATAGAAGCTGTTTTTCATTCTCTCGGTCTCAGCTTTGATGCACCTGTACTGACCTCGCCATCTGGATGATAGTGGGGTGAACAGGCAGTGGCTCGGGTGGTTGATGTCCTTGATGATCTTTTTGGCCTTCCTGTGACAGGGTTTTAGGTGCCAAGCCAAATTTCTTCAGCCTCCTGAGGTTGAAAAGGCTCTGTTGCGCCTTCTTCACCACACTGTCTGCGTGGGTGGACCATTTCAGTTTGTCAGTGATGTGTACGCCAAGGAACTTGAAGCTTTCCACCTTCTCCACTGCGGTCCCGTCAATGTGGATAGGGGGGTGCACCCTCTGCTGTTTCCTGAAATCCATGATCATCTACTTTGTTTTGTTGACGTTGAGTGAGAGGTTATTTTCCTGGCACCACACTCCCAGAGCCCTCACCTCCTCCCTGTAGGCGGTCTCGTCATTGTTGGTAATCAAGCCTACTACTGTTGTGTCATCTGCAAACTTGATGATTGAGTTGGAGGCGTGCTTGGCCACGCAGTCATGGGTGAACAGGGAGTACAGGAGGGGGCTGAGCACGCACCCTTGTGGTGCCCCAGTGTTGAGGATCAGCGAAGTGGCGATGTTGTTTCCTACCTTCACCACCTGGGGGCGGCCTGTCAGGAAGTCCAGGACCCAGTTGCACAGGGCGGGGTTCAGACCCAGGGCCTTGAGCTTAATGATGAGCTTGGAGGGGACTATGGTGTTGAATGCTGAGCTATTGTCAGTCATCGAACAGCGTTCTTACATACAGTTGAAGTCGGAAGTTTACATACACCTTAGCCAAATACATTTAAACTCAGTTTTTCCAATTCCTGACATTTAATCCTAGTAAAAATTCCCTGTCTTAGGTCAGTTAGGACCACCACTTTATTTTAAGAATGTGAAATGTCAGAATAATAGTAGAGAGAATTATTTATTTGAGCTTTTATTTATTTCATCACATTCCCAGTGGGTCAGAAGTTTACATACACTCAATTCGTATTTGGTGGCATTGCCTTTAAATTGTTTAACTTGGGTCAAACGTTTCGGGTAGCCTTCCACAAGCTTCCCACAATAAGTTGGGTGAATTTTGGCCCATTCCTCCTGACAGAGCTGGTGTAACTGAATCAGGTGTGTAGGCCTCCTAGCTCGCACAAGCTTTTTCAGTTCTGCCAACAAATGTTCTATAGGATTGAGGTCAGGGCTTTGTGATGGCCACTCCAATACCTTGACTTTGTTGTCCTTAAGCCATTTTGCAACAACTTTGGAAGTATGCTTGGGGTCATTGTCCATTTGGAAGACCCGTTTGCGACCAAGCTTTAACTTCCTGACTGATGTCTTGAGATGTTGCCACCCCCATGCTTCACGGTTGGGATGGTGTTCTTCGGCTTGCAAGCCTTCCCCTTTTTCCTCCAAACATAATGATGGTCATTATGGCCAAACAGTTCTATATTTGTTTCATCAGACATTTCTCCAAAAACCGTAGTCTGGCTTTTTTATGGCGGTTTTGGAGCAGTGGCTTCTTCCTTGCTGAGCGGTTTTTCAGGTTATGTCGATATAGGATATAGATACTTGTGTACCTGTTTCCTCCAGCATCTTCACAAGGTCCTTTGATGTTGTTCTGGGATTGATTTGCACTTTTCGCACCAAAGTACGTTAATCTCTAGGAGACAGAACGCGTCTCCTTCCTGAGCGGTATGACGGCTGCGTGGTCCCATGGTGTTAATACTTGCGTACTATTGTTTGTACAGATGAACGTGGTACCTTCAGGCGTTTGGAAATTGCTCCCAAGGATGAACCAGACTTGTGGAGGTCTACAATTCATTTTCTGAGGTCTTTGATTTTCCCATGATGTCAAGCAAAGTGGCACTGAGTTTGAAGGTAGGCCTTGAAATACATCCACAGGTACACCTCCAATTGACTCAAATTATGTCAATTAGCCTATCAGAAACTTCTAAAGCCATGACATCATTTTCTGGAATTTTCCAAGCTGTTTAAAGCCACAGTCAACTTAGTGTATGTAAACTTCTGACCCACTGGAATTGTGATACAGTGAATTATAAGTGAAATAATCTGTCTGTAAACAATTGTTGGAAAAATTACTTGTGTCATGCACAAAGTAGATGTCTAGCAAAACTATAGTTTGTTAACAAGAAATGTGTGGAGTGGTTGAAAAATGAGTTTTAATGACTCCAATCTAAGTGTATGTAAACTTCCGACTTCAACTGTAGGTATTCCTCTTGTCCAGATGGGATAGGGCAGTGTGCAGTGTGATGGCGATTGCATCGTCTGTGGATCTATTGGGGCGGTAAGCAAATCGAAGTGGGTCTAGGGTGACAGGTAAGGTACAGTGAGGGACAAAAGTATTTGATCCCCTGCTGATGTTGTACGTTTGCCCACTGACAAAGACATGATCAGTCTATAATTTTAATGGTAGGTTTATTTGAACAGTGAGAGACAGAATAACAAAAAAAATCCAGAAAAACGCATGTCAAAAATGTTATAAATTGATTTGCATTTTAATGAGGGAAATAAGTATTTGACCCCCTCTCAATCAGAAAGCACATATACATGCCCGTCTGAAGTTTGCCAATGAACATCTGAATGATTCAGAGGAGAACTGGGTGAAAGTGTTGTGGTCAGATGAGACCAAAATGGAGCTCTTTGGCATCAACTCAACTCGCTGTGTTTGGAGGAGGAGGAATGCTGCCTATGACCCCAAGAACACCATCCCCACCATCAAACATGGAGGTGGAAACATTATGCTTTGGGGGTGTTTTTCTGCTAAGGGGACAGGACAACTTCACCGCATCAAAGGGAAGATGGACAGGGCCATGTACCGTCAAACTTGGGTGAGAACCTCCTTCCCTCAGCCAGGGCATTGAAAATGGGTCGTGGATGGGTATTCCAGCATGACAATGACCCAAAACACACGGCCAAGGCAACAAAGGAGATGCTCAAGAAGAAGCACATTAAGGTCCTGGAGTGGCCTAGCCAGTCTCCAGACCTTAATCCCATAGAAAATCTGTGGAGGGAGCTGAAGGTTTGAGTTGCCAAACGTCAGCCTCGAAACCTTAATGACTTGGAGAAGATCTGCAAAGAGGAGTGGGATAAAATCCCTCCTGAGATGTGTGCAAACCTGGTGGCCAACTACAAGAAACGTCTGACCTCTGTGATTGCCAACAAGGGCTTTGCCACCAAGTACTAAGTCATGTTTTGCAGAGGGGTCAAATACTTATTTCCCTCATTAAAATGCAAATCAATTTATAACATTTTTGACATGCGTTTTTCTGGATTTTTTTGTTGTTATTCTGTCTCTCACTGTTAAAATAAACCTACCATTAAAATTATAGACTGATCATTTATTTGTCAGTGGGCAAATGTACAAAATCAGCAGGGGATCAAATACTTTTTTCCCTCACTGTAGAAGCACAAGCATTTCGCTACACCCGCAATAACATCTGCTAAACATGTGTATGTGACAAATACAATTTAATTTGATTTGATATGCATTCATCACAAAGGTTGCATTCTGTATTTTCATAACATATTTTGTTTGTGACTCAATACTCATATATAATATATATTTATTTTATTAGAAATCTCCATAGATCTGCTAGCTACTAGCTAACTTATTAACAGTTAGCTACTATGTAAGCATCCCCAAATTCCAATATCAAACGACTTTCCCAATATCAAACGACTTTATCGAGTCTATTTAGATATCGACCCTTTCATACAGGCCAAATCAATCAGAAAAACAGTAAATCTAAAGTTCAATTTCCAATACATTGATCTTACCTTGTGACTAACCTCAGCCTTCCAAGCCTCTATGTAGTCCTTCTGGACAGCCCAGACCCTTGCTACTTGAAATTCCTTCACCCAAGCAGTTGCGTCGTTCACTTAAGCTATTGAAGTCAATCGTTTGACCAATGACAACAGCTGTGATGGGCTGGGCTAAACGTTTAACCCGACCCACATTTAAACTCGCCCGATTCCGTGGTCCGAATTGACCAGCAGGTGGCGATAGCACAAATTGTGTTAACTTGAACTTGCACGAACAAGTTAACACCGGATACTGTTGTTGCTCCATCCTTTCAGGCTTTTGGCCTGAGGTAGGACTAAATATATTTATATAGTGGAGTAGGGTGGTGTTTTTCTTTAGTGAGTGTAGGGTTAGATGGTAGGGTATTTTTTTATTTATGTATTTTTTTATTCAAGCAAAGTACAAGGGAGTTATACTCCAGTCTAGTAGGTGGCGGTAATGCAACATTTATTCCACATTTATTGGATGCCAACTGCCGTTAAACCTCATCGAAGAAGAAGAATCAGTACTGTTGTTGCTGCACGGGAAGGGACGAAAATAACACAGCTAGCAAGCTAATCAACTTAAATTATCTAAAAATGTCTCAAATACAGTTGTTGAGGGTTTTTATTAACGAGAGATTAACAGCTGCTGCTGAGGAGATATTCGAGGTCGTTGACAAAACGGTAGCAGAGTATCAGGACGAAGTTGTCCGTCTACAGAGGCTGCTCGACATTGTTAATCAACCTGAGATAAACCAACACCGAGCAGGTAGGCTCACTCATTATGTTTGTCTAACGCAGCGTTAATTTTATATTATTACCGAGTGTCTGGGCGTAAGTAAAAGTGAGTAGGTCACAATGTTCCTGCAAAAATACCCCGACATATTTAAGTGAACATTTGTGCTATCACATTGCATCATTTAACACACAGGATAAATGTCCGTTGACAAAAACACCCGTTATTATTGCCAAGTAAGCAGTGCAACTACACAACGGCTTATAACACAGCTGACAAAACTGAGGGGTATACTACAAAGTAGGATCAATGAGTCTTAGGATCAATGAGTTAGCCAGCTAACTTTGATTAACAACCAAAACGATCTACTGATTTTCAGATGTATTAAGAAAGCTAAACTTCAATGTGTTTTTGAGTGTTGAGTCAATTAGACCATGCGTTTCTTTCTAAAAAATAACTTATTTCAGAATATTTAGGCGAGTTAGCTGGCTAACTCATTGATTCTTCTTTGTAGTATACCCCTCAGGCCAACTGCCCAAGTCCAACTGTAAACAAACTTAATAATGAACTACACGTTGTCTTAACACCTACAGTACCAGTCAAAAGTTTGGACACACCTACTCATTACAGGGTTTTTCTTTATTTTTACTATTTTCTACATTGTAGAATAATAGTGAAGACATCAAAACTATAAATAACACATATTGAATCATGTAGTAACCAAAAAAAAGTGTGAAACAAATCAAAATATATTTTATGTTTGAGATTCTTCAAAGTGGCCACCCTTTACCTTAATGACAGCTTTGCACACTCTTGGGATTCTCTCAACCAGCTTCACCTGGAATGCTTTTCTAACAGTATTGAAGGAGTTCCCACATATGCTGAGCACTTGGCTGCTTTTCCATCACTCTGCGACCCAACTCATCCCAAACCATCTCAATTGGGTTGAGGTCGGGGGATTGTGGAGGCCAGGTCATCTGATGCAGCACTCCATCACTCTACTTCATGGTCAAATAGCCCTTACACAGCCTGGAGGTATGTTGGGTCATGGTCCTGTTGAAAAACAAATGATAGTCCCACTAAGCCCAAACCAGATGGGATGGCGTATCGCTGCAGAATGCTGTGGTAGCCATGCTGGTTAAGTGTGAATGAATTCTAAATAAATCACAGACAGTGCCACCAGCGAAGCACCCCCACACCATCACACCACCTCCTCCATGCTTCACGGTGGGAACTACACATGCAGAGATCATCCGTTCAGCTACACTGCGACTACCTCATGAAGCTGGTTGAGAGAATGCCAAGACCTTGCAAAGCTTTCATCAAGGCAAAGGGTGGCTACTTTGAAGAATCTCATATAAAATATGTTTTGATTTTGTTTTACACTTTTTTGGTTACTACATGATTCTATATGTCTTCACTATTATTCTAAAATGTAAAAAATAGTAAAAATAAAGAAAAACCCTGGAATTAGTAGGTGTCCAAACTTTTGACTGGTACTGTCCATATGGGAAAAGTTATACTGTCACAAAATATGGAGAATGGATGAAGTGTTCAGTACGACAGTAATCAAACATTTTACATTACATTTGTACGTTTTAGTCATTTAGTAGACACTCTTATCCAGAGCTATCAGCAAAGTCAGTGCTAGTTGGAAAAGGTAGGCTTTCAGATGTTTTCGGAAGATGGGCCATGGTCAGCGGGTCGGACACCAGCAGCTCGGCACTGGAATATGCGCAAATAGCTTCATGCACAAAGAAGAATAGAAATAGAAAGTCCTGAATGTGTTTTCATTAAAGGACTTGTTCACTATTTTACAAATTGATGTTAAATTGTTCCTCACCCTGAAAGTAGTCTATGGACCAGGAGAAACTGTAATCAATTATTTCTTTAAACAGCCATTAACTTCTACGGGATCGGTAGTTGAGCTAACGTGCGCTAATGTGATTAGCATGACTGTTGTAAGTAACAGCAAACCTTCCAGGACATAGACATGTCTATATATGGACAGAAAGCTTAAATTCTTGTTAATCTAACCGCACTGTCCAATTAACAGTAGCTATTACACTGAAAAAATACCATGCTATTGTTTGAGGAGAGTGCATAACAACAAAAAATTTATCACGGCAACTGGTTTGATACATTCACCTCTGAAGGTAAATAATGTATTAACATTCAGTGATCTTGCTCTGATTTGTCATCCTAAGGGTCCCAGAGATAAAATGTAGCATAGTTTTGTTTGATAGAATCCATTTTTATATTCAAATGTAGGAACTGGGTTCTACAGTTTGAACCCCTGCTGTCTCTGGCTCCACACCCACCCCGCCCGGCCATCTAGATGTGTGAAAGTTAGTGTATAAGCTAATGATCCATCATGTATGACATTCCTGGGAGTGTGTAAACTTACATTTTGTTTTACCATATCATTTTTGTATGTTTTCTATAGTTATGTACTTGAAAATGTATCAATTGACCAATTCGGCACATTTGGGCAGACTTGATACAAAATAGTCCAGTATTGTAATGCTTCACTGGCTCAATCTGAAACTTTGCACACAGACTGCTGCCAAAATGTATCTAGTGGCCAAAATCTAAATTGTGCCTAAACTGCAATATTATATTGTGGCCTTTCTCTTGCGTTTCAAAGATGGAACAAAAAAATAAATAGAAAATGCATGTTTTTTTGTTTGTATTATCTTTTACCAGATCTAATGTGTTATATTCTCCAACATTCATTACACATTTCCACAAACTTCAGTGTTTCCTTTCAAATGGTATCAAGAATATGCATATCCTTGCTTCAGGTCCTGAGCTACAGGCAGTTAGATTTGGATATGTCATTTTTAGGCGAAAATTGAAAAAAAGGGTCCGATCCTTAAGAGGTTAAACTTAAGCTAAATTTAGCCACCGCTAGCAAAAAATCTATGGATGTGATGGGGGCATGTGAGCATGTTTTTTTTTTTTTATGGCCAAATCACCTTTAAGTAACATGCCCCCATCACTTCCATTGATTGAGTTCGCGTTCGAGCTAGATTGTTGAGACATGCAGTTAGCCTGCAAGATCGGATGGATGTTTGGATACGGCCTGTAGTTGAGAAGAGTCTCTCAACACTACATGAAGTCATAGGAAGGGTGATGATGTCCCTTAGTAGTCTATTGATGTTAGGGAAAATGTCAGGGTTGCAGCTGTCCAAAACTTCAATAAGGGATGGGAATTCCCCCCTCCCTAAGCATGCTAGGTAGTGCTATGTTTCAACAGCCATTGACAGACAATCCAGTAGGGGTTGGAAGCTATGGTGAGCTTCGATTGGCTACTCGCACCGCGATATTGTGGAGGATTTGTATAATGTTCCGCTTTCCCCAACATTAGTCCCATCCTGTTCAGCCCATGCTCACATTGCTCAACGGTCCTCTGCCCACTCCGCTTCTCTCACTTTCCTTCCATTGAAAATGATGTGTAGCTCAGTTGGTAGAGCATGGCGTTTGCAACGCCAGGGTTGTGGGTTCGTTTCCCACGAGGGGCCAGTATGAAAAAAATAAAAATAAATGTATGCACTAACTGTAAGTCGCTCTGGATAAGAGCGTCTGTTAAATGACTAAAATGTAAATGTTTCACTGCGCGATGCCGCTGTATATGAACACGGGCCGTTATACACGTCTGCCATAATAGCATAGTAACGTTACATGCTTGGTGATTCACGGAGCTCTGCTTTGATCTTGCACAATAGCAGGGAGGCTGCTGATTCAAGCAGCTTGTTTTTAATGTCTAGACTCATGAGTCTGTTGTGGCAAATTCAGCCTTATACTGATCAAAGAACCAAAGTATTTCAGAGTTTTTGTAGAATTAAGATAGACTTTATTACATAAGCAATAGAGTCGAGGTGGTTTGCAAAGCATCTCCCTTCCACCTCTCAGCTTTGTTTATATAGTCATTTTACAAACATTTTAGCTTAACACCTTGTTGTGACGTGCCTTTCATTATTGTGATGACTATTATTTATCGAATAATTACCTACTATGTTTCATTGTTACTAGATTAAATTAATCATGTAACAATTAACTAATTAGGAATTTGGGGCACCACGGGAAAAGTTGTTTAACGAGTTACCGTTTCCCGAATTAACTCTAAAGATATCTTTATCTCTTATCATTTAACAGTCATTTATTAATCATTTACGTCATATCAGTGTCATTCTGAAAGTCGTAGGCTCTTTAAGTCTGCACGAACCCGGGTCTTACTGATCATTCCGTACCACACAAATTGATTTAATTATTTATTTACTAACTAATTAAAAATGATAACCCAAGATACAAACACATACACGGTATAGGTAGGGATTAGAAACTTAATACAATGAAAACGGGTCCTTAGCGGACTAACACAATATGACACTTGTTACAAAAGATTGCGATTTAGAGAGAGAGCGAGAGAAAACACTTGGATACACATGGACATATACTCATAGTAATCCTAATAATTTGGCAAGAACTGTTGCCTGTTTGGTAAGAAATAATGCATGTATTTACGTGTTTGTCTTCGTGGGAAGGGTCGATTGAGCCTTCTCTTTTCGGATGGCGTTTTAGATGTAAGGTTCAGATGTAAGGCTCAGATTGTCCACAAGAGGTCACAATGCCCTTGTTCTTAGTCGTCCGTTTACTTTCACTCGTTCTGGAAGTGGTCTTCTGAGGATGGCTAATCAGCCATGTCGATGATCCCCTGTGGGGTGATGAGAGCAGTGTAGTAGACAATGGTTTGAAGAGAGAGTAACAGGATGGTCCCACTTAAATTCACCTTCTTAGATACAGTACTTAGAACAGCTACTCAGCCGTAACATTGATTGTTAGTGGAGGCAACTTTGTCGTCTTCACCTCGTGTTGATTTTCAGGGTCGGGACCAATATGGACAAAAGCTGCAGCTTGAGGTCCGTCTAGTCTGATCTGATAATTCGTATCTCAGTCTTTTATGCACTCCGGTAAAGAGGGACATTTCATACTGACACGCTCTCTGAGCTCCCTTGGGCGTGGCTAGTTAGAAAGCTAAAATCACATTCCTATCTTCACGGAAAAATTGTCTTCCTCCTTGATATTTTCTACCCAAGGTAAAGGATGTAAACCTGATATCCACAGTGTAAAAGCTCTTCAAGTCACAATGTTTTCGTTATAACGCCTTTATACCATTTTTAATGACATCACAAAATATACATTAATTTTCCATATTCCATTTCTCATCATTCCCAACATTTAGATGTTGAAATATATTGTCCCAATGTTCATTGTTGAATGTTGAAGTTTTGGGCGGCAAAAGTCTCTGAAACAAAGGACATTCCTTTCACCATACTAGAGGCCAGAGATAGAATAATCTATCTCTAATTTATGGCAGTATTAAGGTGTCAAGACCGGCACAGCCCAATGGTGGTGCAATCAATCAAGCCCTGTCATGCAAACATAATCATGTTCAGTTTGAACTCTGTTCAACCCTGGCTCACCCTGGCTTGACCTGGAGATTGATTGTTGGACATGGCAGGTCCACAATCAATCTCTCAAACATACCCAAGCCCAACCCCTCTCTCCCACCCCGTCATGCTGTAATTAATTATTAAGACGCCCAAGTAGAGACAGAGGGTTTAGCCTGAACTCTGTTCAACCCTGGCTCGTTCCAGGGTTATGGCTAAGCAGAGCCACAGTCTGGTTTCAGTCACTGATAAGATAAGACAACTGTAGAATTTGACCCGAACACAGGTCAGATGCCCATTTTTACACACACAAACCTAGTGAGAGGAATTAAGTTCTTGCCTACCAACAGAGATGTACCCATGTTTAACCTTGGCTCCGTGTTCGTCATGTTGTGATTAGTGCATAGCATAACAATGTCCAGAACCACTTCGACATAATCACGATTCCTCTCTACAAATAAATAGTCCATGGCATCGCAGTTACCCAGGCTTTGATTGCAATGGCTTACACTGTAGCCTTCAAATTAATCCAGTGCAAAAGAGTGGGATTTGCTAGCCTGGTGCTTGAAGCATGCCTCGCGAAGGTGCTTCCAATCCTTATATCCGTCTCTAACAAATGAGCCTTCCATAGTGGCCTCTAGGAAATGTCTACACATTTTACAGAAAACAGCGTCCCTTGTTGAACTGTATTCCAGCCAAGAAAACTGTCCATACCGCTTCCATGAAAAACACTGTGATTTTCCATTGATCACTGTAGTAAGGAACATTCCGATTTTTGGTTGGGTAGGTGGTTCATCAACAGCAGACAAATCCGCGGGTGGACTCGTGACATGCTCACCGTGACGAGGCTGGGCCGGGGGATGGTAAGCTAGCTGGGCTGTGGAAGTCGAAGGAGTAGCCATGCTAACCTCCTCATGGGCTGACATGCTAGCCTCCGTAGTGCCATGCCTAGTGGTACCATATGATTGCCATATACAGTGAGGGAAAAAAGTATTTGATCCCCTGCTGATTTTGTACGTTTGCCCACTGACAAAGACATGATCAGTCTATAATTTTAATGGTAGGTTTATTTGAACAGTGAGAGGCAGAATAACAACAAAAAAATCCAGAAAAACGCATGTCAAAAATGTTATAAATTGATTTGCATTTTAATGAGGGAAATAAGTATTTGACCCCTCTGCAAAACATGACTTAGTACTTGGTGGCAAAACCCTTGTTGGCAATCACAGAGGTCAGACGTTTCTTGTAGTTGGCCACCAGATTTGCACACATCTCAGGAGGGATTTTGTCCCACTCCTCTTTGCAGATCTTCTCCAAGTCATTAAGGTTTCGAGGCTGACGTTTGGCAACTCGAACCTTCAGCTCCCTCCACAGATTTTCTATGGGATTAAGGTCTGGAGACTGCCTAGGCCAATCCAGGACCTTAATGTGCTTCTTCTTCAGCCACTCCTTTGTTGCCTTGGCCGTGTGTTTTGGGTCATTGTCATGCTGGAATACCCATCCACGACCCATTTTCAATGCCCTGGCTGAGGGAAGGAGGTTCTCACCCAAGATTTGACGGTACATGGCCCCGTCCGTCGTCCCTTTGATGCGGTGAAGTTGTCCTGTCCCCTTAGCAGAAAAACACCCCCAAAGCATAATGTTTCCACCTCCATGATTGATGGTGGGGATGGTGTTCTTGGGGTCATAGGCAGCATTTCTCCTCCTCCAAACACGGCGAGTTGAGTTGATGCTAAAGACCTTGATTTTTCACCCAGTTCTCCTCTGAATCATTCAGATGTTCATTGGCAAACTTCAGACGGGCCTGTATATGTGCTTTCTTGAGCAGGGGGACCTTGCGGGCGCTGCGGGATTTCAGTCCTTCACGGCGTAGTGTGTTACCAATTGTTTTCTTGGTGACTATGGTCCCAGCTGCCTTGAGATCATTGACAAGATCCTCCCGTGTAGTTCTGGGCTGATTCCTCACCGTTCTCATGATCATTGCAACTCCACGAGGTGAGATCTTGCATGGAGCCCCAGGCTGAGGGAGATTGACAGTTATTTTGTGTTTCTTCCATTTGCGAATAATCGCACCAACTGTTGTCACCTTCTCACCAAGCTGCTTGGCGATGGTCTTGTAGCCCATTCCAGCCTTGTGTAGGTCTACAATCTTGTCCCTGACATCCTTGGAGAGCTCTTTAGTCTTGGCCATGGTGGAGAGTTTGGAATCTGATTGATTGATTGCTTCTGTGGACAGGTGTCTTTTATACAGGTGACAAACTGAGATTAGGAGCACTCCCTTTAAGAGTGTGCTCCTAATCTCAGCTCGTTACCTGTATAAAAGACATTTCTGGGAGCCAGAAATCTTTCTGATTGAGAGGGGGTCAAATACTTATTTTATATCAATTTATAACATTTTTGACATGCGTTGTTCTGGATTTTGTTGTTGTTATTCTGTCTCTCACTGTTCAAATAAACCTACCATTAGAATTATAGACTGATAATTTCTTTGTCAGTGGGCAAACGTACAAAATCAGCAGGGGATCAAATACTTTTTTCCCCTCACTGTAACCAATTAGATCCCAGGAACCTCCTACTGCATTTTAATTGTTTTTCTTTCTGATAAGTCAGGAGATCCAGAGCGACTGCTAAATGACTAAAATGTAAATGTAATAATAAAAATCAACAAATTCAAGTTCATTATTTTAAATGTTTTGACTATATTTAAAGCCAGCCTGATTGGGTGGGCCAGTATTCAATCTGGCAGGGCCTGGGACCAGCCAGGCCCTGCCATGGCTTCGCCTGTGATTGGAGCAATGTCAAAGGTAGTTATTTTTTTTACGAAGTTTAGGATTACAGTTCATTTATATTTGACTAGTATAAGTTAATTATTGCAGGCGTACCAGACGGGGTAGGTCTACATGTCAGTTTGTCTACATGTCTGTTTCACCCTTTTTCCTTTCCTGCAGACCTCCAGCAACTCACTCTCTCTTTCTCTGAAGCGGAGGTTTCCCCTGAGCAGCAGCACTGTGAGCAGGAGTGGAGCCCCAGTCTGGGGCAGGAGGACCCAGAACCCACACAGATTAAAGAGGAACAGGAGGAACTCCGGACCAGTCAGGAGGAAGAGCAGTTTCAAGGGCTTGAGGCAGATACCATAGAGAACATATTCATTCCTGTCTGTGTGAAAAGTGACTGTGATGAGGACCCAACTCAGCTCTCACATCTCTATCAAGCCCAAAAGAAAAGAAACGGAGAGAGAGACACTCTACCCAATATTACAACTGAACAGATCAAAACAGAACCTGATGGAGAGGACTACAGAGAATCAGAAGCAACCAGTGTCTCTCAGCCTTTCTCTGCTGTAAATCTAGACTGTTCTGCAGCTCAGAGTGAAAACAGTCAAAGTGTCAGTGGTATGGAGACAGGAGGACCTCCACCAGGTTTTAAGCCAGTCATATCAAAGATGGTAAAAGGACAAAGCTCCCATATCAATACTAAGGGTAAGAATTCCACACAGTTATCCCTCCTGAAATCACCCAGTCAAAGTCATGCTACTCCCTGTTGTTGTAAGGTGTGTTGTAAGTCTTTTCATCACATGGGTTCATTAATTAAACACGTGCAAACTCATAGAAAGGATAAAGAAAGTATTTGTGGTGTGTGTGGAAAATGTTTTCAGTCCACAGAAAGTATGAAAGGTCACCTAAAAACTCACATTGCAGCTAGGTTTTGTTGTGATGTTTGTAGTAAAGGGTTCAGCAAGAACAGTGAGCTGATAGTGCACATGAGGATTCACACAGGGGAGAGTCCATATCATTGTTGTCATTGTGGCAAAGCATTCAAACAGAATGGAAATCTAAAAATACACATGAGGACCCACACAGGGGAGAAATCGTATATCTGTCCTGATTGTGGCAAAGGATTCAGCATTGCCAGTAATCTGAAAGTGCACACGAGGACTCACACGAGAGAGACCATACTGATGTCTTCATAGTAGAAGTGCATTTCCCAATCAGGTACATTAAATAACAATCAAAGATGCACCAAGGAATCACTGTATAGGTGCAATGATTGCAGGAGTTCTCAAAATGATGGAACTACAAAGTTACATGAACAACCGTCACCAGGGGAGAACACATGACAGTGTGCTGTTTGGGAAAAGGTCTGGAGACAGAAGATTGAGAGTCACATTCTAACTTACACCTGTGAGAGGAGATGCCCTTTAGGACACTATTTTTTAAAATTTTATTTTACCCTTATTTTACCAGGTAAGGTGACTAAGAACACATTCTCAATTACAGCAACGACCTGGGGAATTGTTACAGGGAGAGAAGGGGGGATGAAGGAAGCTGGGGATGATTAGGTGGCCATGATGGTATGAGGCCCAGGCTTGGGTGAATACAATATGACTGAATTACTGCTTGACCATAAAGAACTCCCCATCACTGTCTAACAGAGAGCAGTTTGTGGATTTCTGAGCAACAGGAGTCCCTGCTCATTAGTTATAGGATGACAAAGACATGTTAAACTATGTCCTCCTTTTCTACATAAAACATGTTTTTGTTTTTAGAGTGAAAATGTATTGTTAAAATATTGAATTCTGCTACATTATCTGTTTTGATGTTCACATAGTTTTCCCAATATCAGTTACTTTGTGCTTATGTTTCCTCAAGTGTCCTCAGGAGCTGAAAGATTCCTACCATTTTTGTTATTACCTCTGAGTTTGATGTCTGTATACATTTTTATTTCGTTTTCCATGTTTTGACAAACATTAAGAAAAATGTTATGAGATCAAGTGGACCCATTCGTATAAATGAGCCTTCTGTAATGTTTTATATCTACACAGAATAAATGTTTATAACACGTGCATTGTGAGGTCTTTTCCTGCACATTTCTCGTTCCTCTGACAGTGTTGCACGATTCTGAAACATTGGAGACAATTACATGTTTAACAGTTACCTAATCACCAATCCATACCATTTTTATGCATATCTAAAGCACTATAAGGGCACATCAAGTTGCATTTAACTGAGGCTCTTACATTGATAGGAATGTGACTGGATAATTTTTTATCATATTCTCATTTAGCAGACACTCTTAGCCAGAGTGACTTACAGTAGTGAGTGCATATTTTTCGTACTTTCCCCCTGTTGGTATCGAATCACACAACCCTGGCGTTGCAAATGCCATTCTCTACCAACTGAGCCACACAGGACCTCTTCTCATGTGCTGTGAATATACTATTATGTTATTAATATACTATTATTGTTTACGACGATATTGTTGTCAAAGTTTTTGACGTGATGAAGCAAATGACGTGATTGGTGCATGTCGATTGACCTGTATGGTGGATGGAGTAAGGAAACCCACTTTGTCCATATTATTGTTTTGTTGATGAGTCTCTCCCTTCTCATGTAAAGCTAGGCTTTATGAGATACCCTGTAAAAGCTTTTGTGCACAAGCCCCTCCAGTGTTATAAATATTTGGGCATGTATCACGTGTATGCAGATGAGAAGAATATCGTATGCCAGTTGAGGATATATGATGCAACTGGTGGCGAACATGCGCCAGAGTCCCTGGATTGCCCTGTTAGGGTAAAGGAGACAGAGGTGGTGAGAATCAGGGCTGTCCAGTGTGTCTCCTATCTGGAGGCTGTGAGTAGCTTTGAAGATGCAATGGTAATTGAGACTGCACCAGTGTATGTTTCTCAGCAATCAAGGGATCTTGATATATGTGTGAAAAAGGTGGACTTTGTAGTATTTATTGCAATGTTCAAAAACTGCACAGCACAAATTTGAATTATTGAGAGTGCAGCAGAACGCTTTTTGGGACTCAGTTGTTTACAGCCGAGGCATTGCAAGACATCCTGTCAAAGGATGTTCTGCCCTCACAGGCCCCTGAGCCTGTGTAGGGATGTGAATTGGAATGTGACTGAAGAAGTGGGATAGGGTTATTTTGTGTTTTTTTATTCTGTATTACGTCTGTTTTTCCCTCTTTTCTCCTACAATGGATATCTTTTCTATAGTTTACCACCAGTACAGTAGGTGGTGGCATGCACCTCTAACGCTTGTTTGCGGACCGCCACAATGCCATAGAAGAAGAAGAACTGGCTAGTTGTCACTAATGCCGCACGTGATGAAAACAACACTGTTAACTGTCTGGCTAGCAACTCAACCTGCTTTTACATTTTTTTTCTCAAATACAGATGTTGAGGGTTTTTCTCAACGAGAGATTAACAGCTGCTGCCAATGAGATATTCGGAGTTGTTGAAAAAACAATAGCTGAGTATCAGGAGGAAGTTGCCCGTCTACAGAGGCTGCTCGACATTCTCGAGATAAACCAAATGTTACACAGAGCAGGTATGCTAATGTACCCGGTGTGAAATGGCTAGCTAGTTAGCAGTGCGCACTAGTAGCGTTTCAATCGGTGACGTCACTCGCTCTGAGACCTTGAAGTAGTTGTTTCCCTTGCTCTGCAAGGGCTGCGGTTTTTGTGGAGCGACGGGTAACGGTGCTTCGAGGGTGACTTGTTGATATGTGCAGAGGGTCCCTGGTTCAAGCCCAGGTAGGGGCGAGGAGAGGGACGGAAGCAACACTGTTGCATTGATGCTGTTGATCCGGATCACTGGTTGCTGCGGAAAAGGAGGAGGTCAAAAGGGGGGTGAGTGTAACCGGTGTGAAATGGCTAGCTAGTTAGCGGTGCGCACTAGTAGCGTTTCAATCAGTGACGTCACTCGCTCTGAGACCTTGAAGTAGTTGTTTCCCTTGCTCTGCAAGGGCCGTGGCTTTTGTGGAGCGACGGGTAACGGTGCTTCGAGGATGACTGTTGTCGATGTGTGCAGAGGGTCCCTGGTTCAAGCCCAGGTAGGGGCAAGGAGAGGGACGGAAGCAACACTGTTACACTAACTCATTACGTTGGTTTGTCTAACTAACTCAACCTTCATTTTGTAGGACATTGGAGCAATGTCAAAAGTAGTTATTTTTTAGTTTAGGATTAGTCGTTCCAAATTAAACCTTTTTAGAAAAGGTGCATTTTTGGACCGCACCTTGTTTTATTTGAATGAAACTGTAGCTACATAGCTAGCTACATGTTTGTCCATGGTAGAAATGAGAATGTGCATATTGGCAGAGATAATGACGAAATGGTCTTGTCTCCGCCCTAACAATGGCAGTCGTCCCAAAGGCAGGCGTTCTGCTTAATCACAGTATTCCCACGTGTACAGATTTTGACTGGAGTGGACACTCTAGCTTCGCCTCATCCTCTCTGATATTGGACCTGAATGATCAAAACCGTTCAGGAGGTTATAGTATGGAAGCATATAGCTTCCGAAACTCAATTGGAAATGCAAATGATAAATCAGTATCATGTTTGCAATGACTTTTCCTAAATGGGTAGGCCTATGTATTTGTTGTGACAAAATTCAAAGTAATATATGTGACCGACAGGCTCGATTCGGTCTTATGTAGTAACATTTGAAATGGTGTTTTTTACATTGGATAAAAGTAGAGACTCAGAGCTAGAAAATGGTATATCATACACTACAGTTGAGGAACAATGGGAAAGTAATTCTGCTTTGAAAGTTGATAAACTTGTAACCTCACTTCTGAGAAAAGGGCCTTGAATGTTTTGGTGCACCTACTGGAGAGCTCTTTGTCTACACCTATTCAGCATCGTTCACACCCTCTAAAGCCTTAGCCCCACCCATCTCTTTAAGGATTCACATGTGAGGCCAAGTACTAAACAACCAAATATTTCAAGACTAAAGGCTGGTTTATACTACAGGTGTATTTGTACATTTTATCTGGTGTGCCAGAGTGAGAGTGTGCTCAGAGTGCACTCTGGGCGCTCATAAACTCAGAGCGTTGTCAGATTGTCAGTTCGTAAATTCAGAGCGTTTCGCTCTCGGAGCGTTTAGAGCGCACACTGGATGCTCTGGCTGAGGAGTAGGGTTGATCGGAGCGTTCTGACCTAACAACGGCAGTCAAGCACCCAAGCTAACTGACTTGTTGGCTAGCTTGCTAGCTACTTCCAGACACAAATGAGAGAACAGCTCACTTTGACCATTTTACTCGCCATAGCAGAGCTGGTTAGGCTGTTTTTATGTCAACCAGAGCGTTGGTGACTGCAACTGTGCTGCTGGCAACAATTGAGTTACGCTTTTTTGCCAACGTTTACTGACACCGGCCATATTCAACGGGTGTTGATCATTTGTAAATTCGTCAGTTATTCTGCGCTCTAGCACACTCAGACGAGAGTGGTCTGAAATCGGAGTAGATAGCCAGAGCGGATTTACCAGCTACATCTATCGACAGTTGTCGCAGTGACATCATGAACGTTCTATTGAAATGGTTACTTGTACAGTGGAGTCTTTTGTTTAGACATGTAGCTAGCTAAACATTGAACCATAATCCCAACTCATAACGTTACTACCCTGCATGAATCTGCAGGTAGCTAACCAACCAGGTTCAATGTTAGCTAACTAACATTAGGCTATAACTAGCACTGCAAATGGCTCTGAGATACGAATAATATAACTAAACGTTGGCTAGCTAACTGTACACTTTAACTTGAAATGAAAACAACTTTAACAAAATTAGAAACGTGTAATATCTGAATTTTCTCCATCTTCTTAGCTATCATACTCTAATTCCACTGATTTCAAAACTCGGTCCTCCAGAAAGTGGAGAGCAACACT